GATGCACGTGCTTGATTTATTTACCCAGCAGAGCAGGCTGATGCACGTCTTTATTTACCCAGCAGAGCAGGCTGATGCACGTCTTTATTTACCCAGCAGAGCAGGCTGATGCACGTGCTTGATTTATTTACCCAGCAGAGCAGGCTGATGCACGTGCTTGATTTATTTACCCAGCAGAGCAGGCTGATGCACGTCTTTATTTACCCAGCAGAGCAGCCTGATGCACGTCTTTATTTACCCAGCAGAGCAGGCTGATGCACGTCTTTATTTACCCAGCAGAGCAGCCTGATGCACGTCTTTATTTACCCAGCAGAGCAGGCTGATGCACGTCTTTATTTACCCAGCAGAGCAGGCTGATGCACGTCTTTATTTACCCAGCAGAGCAGGCTGATGCACGTCTTTATTTACCCAGCAGAGCAGGCTGATGCACGTCTTTATTTACCCAGCAGAGCAGGCTGATGCACGTGCTTGATTTATTTACCCAGCAGAGCAGGCTGATGCACGTCTTTATTTACCCAGCAGAGCAGGCTGATGCACGTGCTTGATTTATTTACTCAGCAGAGCAGGCTGATGCACGTCTTTATTTACCCAGCAGAGCAGGCTGATGCACGTGCTTGATTTATTTACCCAGCAGAGCAGGCTGATGCACGTCTTTATTTACCCAGCAGAGCAGGCTGATGCACGTCTTTATTTACCCAGCAGAGCAGGCTGATGCACGTGCTTGATTTATTTACCCAGCAGAGCAGGCTGATGCACGTGCTTGATTTATTTACCCAGCAGAGCAGGCTGATGCACGTCTTTATTTACCCAGCAGAGCAGCCTGATGCACGTCTTTATTTACCCAGCAGAGCAGGCTGATGCACGTCTTTATTTACCCAGCAGAGCAGCCTGATGCACGTCTTTATTTACCCAGCAGAGCAGGCTGATGCACGTCTTTATTTACCCAGCAGAGCAGGCTGATGCACGTCTTTATTTACCCAGCAGAGCAGGCTGATGCACGTCTTTATTTACCCAGCAGAGCAGGCTGATGCACGTCACTGACCCAACAGATGGGGCCACTCAGAGAACTCAATCCCCGCGGCACGTGCCGGGTCACTGAGTGAGGGCCGGGCTCCCTGGTCACTCGGCTTTTCACGTCATTAGAAATTCATTGGTTGTCTGGCTTTAAGACCCCCCCCCCCCCTCTACACCCGACACAGACACACATGCGCGCTCGCAAACAAATAAAACGCTGTCCAGTGAATTGGACAGATGCATATTTTTGTCAAAGCGTAGGATTTTTTAAGTGGAGGGGAGGGGGGCTATTTGCAAAAAAAAAAGAATTATAGATTATTAAATTTTTGAAATAGCAAAGTATTATAATTATGTCAACATTTTTTACTTTGTTTTTTTTTAAATTTCAAGTAGCAATTTTTTAATTCAAGCTCAAACGTGAAAACCAACAAAAATAAAATTAAAAAAAAAAAACGAAAACGAATTGGTTTTTAGCTAAGGTGTGTCAGTTTTCTTTTTTATCAAATAATTTTATAACTTTACACCTAAAAGTATATCTTGTTGAATTAAAGCAGTGGTTCCCAACCTTTTTCGAGTGGCGACCCCCTTTTATAAAAAGTAAGTGACCCGCGACCCCCATAGAATTAAAAAGCCGAAATTAGTATGGAAATTAATAAGCACTAAAATAAGATTTTCTAGTAGACTTTCAATATGAAATACTCTTGATAACTGTTTTAATAGCATGAGTAAAATTGCATACTATTCACTAAACCTTCGTGGTTAAGTTTTTAATTTTTTAAAAAAAATTTGTTAACGCCAGCCTATGTGATTATAATTATCTTAATTTTGTTTTTAATCGAAGAATAGTGTTGAAAATATATTCTCGAAAAGTCAATCAATTTTACGTTTGGGTATTAATGGTGAATACTACACCAAAATTGTGCCTGCAGTTTTTCATCTTACACGGAATCATTCTGCAAATCAAAGAATTTATCTTGTAATTCATCGGGAATGCTGGTAACATCAAGGGAAGAAGAGAATGGGTAAGGCGTAAATGCAGATTCTTCTTTTTTCAGCTCAGAGAAATAGCGATGCAGTTCGTTTTCAAGAGATTCAAGATGCCCAGAAATCGCTTCTTTCAAAATTTTAATTATCTCACAATCAGATTCATCTACCACACAGCAGAGTTTCTCAAATGTACAATATTCCAAAGATTTGTTTTCTTTACCGATTTTGCAGCTTTGATAAAAATGCCCCGAGATTATCATGGAAAGTGAAAATATTCGTTCATATTCCCTGAAGCTTCAGGTTAAGCTTATCTTGATGTTCGAACATATCTGCTAGGTATGATACTCTCTCCAACCACTCTATGTCGTTTTAAGTATACCAAAAAGTCTTGTTTCCTTTTGCACTCACAAGAACAATTTGATTTCAGATTTCAATTCAAAAACACAATTTACAACATTTCATTTCACAGCCAGCGTACTGTAGTGTAGAAGAGCAAAACCTCGTGATCTATATTAATGTTTTTGCTCAGTTTTTTGAAGGCTCCAGATTTTATATAATTTACTACTTATACTAGCAATGGACTCTTGATGTCGATTGATTAGGGCAGTGGTTAGGGAGCGAAATCTTTTCTGTTTTCTGAAAGCCCGATTTTAAGCAAAACATAGATGGCGCACCATCCGTACAAACCCCCACAGCCGTTCTAACCCATTTTAATCATCCAGTTTCAAAAAATATATTTATTTTCTCCATGCTGTCTTCACAAAAGAGCTACTCTTTTATCTTTGCTATCATCCGCATGAATATAGACACAGACCAGCAACTGCCAAAACGAACTGACGTCTGTTGATTTATCAACTTGAAAAGCAGACAATGGTGAAAGCTTAATTTCAATAAAAATGTGTTATTTAACATTTACGTACATGCAGCGTTTGATGAGATTTTCTCCTATTGTTTTTTTTTTTTTTTTTTTTTTGCTTGGCATTTTCTATCGCGACTTTATTTGACGCTTGCACTAATGCTGGTGAAAACTTCCTGTTCGATCAAGTCTCTGGCGTTTGCAACTAGCTTCTTATCGACGAAAGAAATCCATATATTTTTGGTGTGTTCCGAATGACTCGTCTCAAATGACGTTTTAGTTTCGAAGATTTTATAGATTTGTGACTGAGAACAACTTTGTACAGTGCGCTTTGTTTCTTCTCCTATTACATTTCCAGTGATGTTAATGAAGCCGAATTTCAAAAATTCTTCTAAATATTTATGTTTCGTTTCAAATTACTAAGGTTTAGTATACCAGTTGGCGACCCCCCAGAAAGACCTTCGCGACCCCCAGGGGGGTCGCGACCCCCAGGTTGGGAACCCGTGAATTAAAGGCTTATTTTTAAACTTCACATCGATTTCTTTCAAGTTAAAATTTAATATTAATTTGTGTTAGTTACTTCCCATTTATAAATTCACAGCAACCAAGGGAAACAACATTTAACAATTTTTTTCCAATATTCATTAAAATTGTAATAGTTCGTGCAGTAATTAAATAAAAAGGCGATACTTGTTTATTGTTATTACGAAACATAAATAATAAAAAGCCTTACTTGTGTTGTTGGTTTAATCTTTATACTTCTGAAATTTTAGATTATTGTTAGACTCTAGTTTAAATAGTAAAGACTTAGCTGAATTTAAAAAATCAGTTCAAGGACTTGTGAATGCTTAGTTTAATGTGTGTTTGTACCAGGTTTTGCATATTGCTATCCCCAATATTCTCAATAAAAAAAACTCAAAAAAAAAACAGCATATGTAATAATTTGTTGCTGAAAGGCCCTAAATTAGTTAGAGTCTTAATTATGGTTTATTTTGTCAACTTGTAATGAATATACTTTATAATGGATGGGACGACATGGCCTAAGAGTTAGAGCGCTAATCTGCTAACCTGAAGATTCCGTGTTCAAAGCTGGGTTCAAGTCAGTAGAATGTCCCTGAGTCCACCCAGCTCTGATGGGTACCTAACTCATGTTTGGGAAAGTAAAGGCAGATGGGCAAAGTGCTGACCTCACCTTCCCTTCATGTGCTGAGGTCGAGAAAAATATGAACTCTACTTCATCTGCAAAATGGATGGCTAGGTCTAAAGAAGATTATTTACTTTTACTTTTTCACTTTGTAAAGAATTGTTAAATTAGAAAATTATTTACTAAAAAATATTTAGTGAGACTTTCTTTCCTCCACCCCTAGTTCAGTTGGTTGGAGCAGCTTAGATTACAACCCAGTGTTAAATGATAAATCAAAATGATAAGTTTTTGCCTATTTTTCATATCCTGTTAATGTTAGATTTCAAGGGAACACACTACTGATCAGTCCCCGTCCCCCCTTAAATTGATACCAGATGACCCCAAGTTATCTAAACTTCTAGACAGTTTTTACTGTACTAACTATTTGACTAAACTTCTAGAAAGCTCTTACCATACTAACTATTTGACTAAACTTCAAGACTTTTAGTGAACTAAGTTATTGTACTAATTATTTGCCTTAGAAAATAAACAACAATATCCCATTGAGATTTAGAAAAGTGATGTTCCTTAAGGTAAACATTTTATCCTAACATTGCCATTAGCACCTGAAAGAATTGCTGTCAGCATCCTACCTAGCCCCATTTACTTTCCTGCATTCCTGCCAGGTACTCATATGAGCTGAGTCATCTTAGATCTGGCCTACAGACACCAGCATGGGATCTGAACTTGAGATTTTGTTTTCAGAGATTGGAAATGGCAGCAGATCTTTTCCTATCTCTACAACTCTACCATGCTATGCAATCACGGCTTTAAAGACCACTTTTTTTTGTTTTCAGAGAATTGGAGATCTTTCCCCATCCATATCTCTACCTCTGTACCACGGCTTTAAAGACCACTTTTTTTTTGTTTTCAGAGAATTGGAGATGACAGCAGATCTTTCCCCATCCATATCTCTACCACTCTACCACGGCTTTAAAGACCACCTTTTTTTGTTTCCAGAGATTGGAGATGGCAGCAGATCTTTCCCCATCAAGTCCAGCATTGTGTTGCCTGAGAAGACGCAGCATCCAGCCTATGGGGGGAGTGACGTGGAGGACGACGAGCAGTTGTCCAAGATGAACTTGAGAGACTGGGACCCAGTCAGTTCTCGTTATACCTCATCTCCCCCTTATTCTTTCTTTCTTTGTCTCTTTCTCAGTTTACTTCTTTCCTCTAACATCATTCTCAGTTTTACTTCTTTCCTCTAACATCATTCTCAGTTTTACTTCTTTCCTCTAACATCATTCTCAGTTTTACTTCTTTCCTCTAACATCATTCTCAGTTTTACTTCTTTCCTCTAACATCATTCTCAGTTTTACTTCTTTCCTCTAACATCATTCTCAGTTTTACTTCTTTCCTCTAACATCATTCTCAGTTTTACTTCTTTCCTCTAACATCATTCTCAGTTTATATTTTTCCTCTTACTTCCTTCTCAGTTTTACTTCTTTGTTTCTTCCATTTGCTTTTTACTTTTCCTTTACTTCTACCCTCTGTGCCTTTGTTATTTTTTTAGCGCAATTTCCATTTTGGAGAATTGCGTTTATTAACTCGTCATTTCTGGGAATGGATGGATGAATGTATGGATGAATGTGTGTCCGGGCTTTAAGTCGTATCTCCTCCTCAACAAAGCAATATCGATGACTAGTTCCAAAAGCAATTATGTTAAGCAAGTTACGAGGATGAACATAGGCCATAAAAATTACGGGTTTCTTTCATGGATTTTCCGGAAAAGCCAAAAAACCTCGAAAAAATGCAGTTTTTGGCCCATATCTCGGCAACCAGACCACTAAGCAACTTGAAACATGTACCAATCGATTCCTGCCATAATTTAGAACAATATTGCAGAAGAAAGTTTTCAAAAATATCCTTTCGTTCGGTCACAAAAAAAATTTTGAATTAATTAAAATTTGGAACGAATTAGTAGGCATTTTTTCCAACCACACCACACGCGTCATCACGTTCAATAGCTGCGCCATCGCGTTCCATGGCTGTGCCATCACGTTCAGTAGGCACACAATGGTTTTTGGTCATGTAACTCTATTGTAAATAAAACATGTAAAATACTGAAAAAAATTAATTAAAAACGTTTTAATAACTAACCAATGGTTTTACTAACCCTGCTCTTGATTTACGCTACGACAGAGCTATTTTTAAATATATAAGGAAATTGCGCTAAAATTGTCACTAGACTTTTTAATTACCTTGTTTTCCATTCCTTTATCTCATTCTACTGAAACTGCCAGCTACCTATATACATAATTTTAAGTTCATTTAAGGCTTTTCTTCTTCTTGGCGTCTTTAAGTAACCTAGAGCAGAACTTTCCCAACTTTCAACATTCTCTCCATGCTGCCATTCCATCACCCTTAACCTCCATCTCACTTGATCTCTAAAACTTTTAAGTTAGAATATTGTGTCCTCCCTGCAAATGCTTGTCTAGTTTAGATCTGTAGTATTATACACCAGCCCTTTTTTCTTTCATATTTCAATATCAACTAAAATATTTCACTAAATCCCCAACAGTCTGTATGTTTTTTGTTAATTTAATAATGATTTAATCCCAATTGAATGATATCTTAATAAGTGCTAGTATGGCCAGTAGAGAGAAAGTAACAGAAAACTCATTCCCCAGAGTCCAGTCATCTCCAAGTTGTATGCTATCAAGTTAATGGATGAGGTAAGCTCTTCACTTGTCCTGTGTGTTGGTAGATGGGTTGGTGGGTGTTGGTAGATGGGTTGGTGGGTGTTGGTAGATGGGTTGGTGGGAGTTGGCATGGAGGACATAGGTTTCTGGCAGTTAGACAGTCCCCATCTTTACATATAGCCACACTGTATGAAGTCACAATGTTTACATATAGCCACACTGTATGAAGTCACCATGTTTACATATAGCCACACTGTATGAAGTCACCATGTTTACATATAGCCACACTGTATGAAGTCACCATGTTTACATATTGCCACACTGAAGTCACCATGTTCACATATTGCCACACTGTATGAAGTCACCATGTTCACATATTGCCACACTGAAGTCACCATGTTCACATATTGCCACACTGTATGAAGTCACAATGTTTACATATAGCCACACTGTATGAAGTCACCATGTTTACATATAGCCACACTGTATGAAGTCACCATGTTTACATATTGCCACACTGAAGTCACCATGTTCACATATTGCCACACTGTATGAAGTCACCATGTTCACATATTGCCACACTGAAGTCACCATGTTCACATATTGCCACACTGTATGAAGTCACCATGTTCACATATTGCCACACTTAAGTCACCATGTTCACATATTGCCACACTAAAGTCACCATGTTCACATATTGCCACACTGAAGTCACCATGTTTACATATTGCCACACTTAAGTCACCATGTTCACATATTGCCACACTGTATAAAGTCACCATGTTCACATATTGCCACACTGTATAAAGTCACCATGTTCACATATTGCCACACTTAAGTCACCATGTTCACATATTGCCACACTTAAGTCACCATGTTCAGATATTGCCACACTTAAGTCACCATGTTCACATATTGCCACACTAAAGTCACCATGTTCACATATTGCCACACTGAAGTCACCATGTTTACATATTGCCACACTTAAAACACCATGTTCACATATTGCCACACTGTATAAAGTCACCATGTTCACATATTGCCACACTGTATAAAGTCACCATGTTCACATATTGCCACACTTAAGTCACCATGTTCACATATTGCCACACTGTATGAAGTCACCATGTTCACATATAGCCACACTGTATGAAGTCACCATGTTCACATATTGCCACACTGTATAAAGTCACCATGTTCACATATTGCCACACTGTATGAAGTCACCATGTTCACATATTGCCACACTTAAGTCACCATGTTTACATATTGCCACACTGAAGTCACCATGTTCACATATTGCCACACTTAAGTCACCATGTTCACATATTGCCACACTTAAGTCACCATGTTCACATATTGCCACACTTAAGTCACCATGTTCACATATTGCCACACTTAAGTCACCATGTTCACATATTGCCACACTGTATAAAGTCACCATGTTCACATATTGCCACACTGTATGAAGTCACCATGTTCACCACATAAAGTCACCATATAAAGTCACTATATTCACATATTGCCACACTTAAGTCACCATGTTTACATATAGCCACACTGTATGAAGTCACCATGTTCACATATTGCCACACTTAAGTCACCATGTTCACATATTGCCACACTGTATGAAGTCACCATGTTCACATATTGCCACACTTAAGTCACCATGTTCACATATTGCCACACTACATAAAGTCACCATGTTCACATATTGCCACACTGTATGAAGTCACCATGTTCACATATTGCCACACTGTATGAAGTCACCATGTTTACATATTGCCACACTGTATGAAGTCACCATGTTTACATATTGCCACACTGAAGTCACCATGTTCACATATTGCCACACTGTATGAAGTCACCATGTTCACATATTGCCACACTTTATGAAGTCACCATGTTTACATATTGCCACACTGTATGAAGTCACCATGTTCACATATTGCCACACTGTATGAAGTCACCATGTTTACATATTGCCACACTGAAGTCACCATGTTCACATATTGCCACACTGTATGAAGTCACCATGTTCACATATTGCCACACTTTATGAAGTCACCATGTTCACATATTGCCACACTGTATGAAGTCACCATGTTCACATATTGCCACACTGTATAAAGTCACCATGTTCACATATTGCCACACTGTATAAAGTCACCATGTTCACATATTGCCACACTGTATGAAGTCACCATGTTCACATTTGGCCACACTGTATAAAGTCACCATGTTTACATATTGCCACACTGTATAAAGTCACCATGTTTACATATTGCCACACTGTATGAAGTCACCATGTTTACATATTGCCACACTGTATGAAGTCACCATGTTCACATTTGGCCACACTGTATAAAGTCACCATGTTTACATATTGCCACACTGTATGAAGTCACCATGTTTACATATTGCCACACTGTATAAAGTCACCATGTTTACATATTGCCACACTGTATAAAGTCACCATGTTTACATATTGCCACACTGTATAAAGTCACCATGTTTACATATTGCCACACTGTATAAAGTCACCATGTTCACATATTGCCACACTGTATAAAGTCACCATGTTCACATATTGCTACACTGTATAAAGTCACCATGTTCACATATTGCCACACTGTATAAAGTCATCATGTTCACACCCTACCACACTGTACACAGGTTGTAGAAGATATCTCCCACCAGTTTATCACCATGGAGGGTCTGATGGAGAAACTGCCCATGAACAAAAAGAAAGCAACGCTGCTGAAAACTTGGAAAAGACGTTTTTTCCGGGCTAGAGATGGATGGCTTTATTATTATGAGGTAGGTTGTCTGTTAAACTCCACTATTAGTGTTTCATGGCATCTCAACCCAAGTCCTGCTTATCAAATACAAACCAACTGAGGTAAAGTTAATTTAAAGTAAGGGGTATGTGGTTAAGATGTAGAACATTTGATTAATAATTTGAAAGTCTTGAGTCAGTTATCACACTATGAGCGTTGGATCATCTTGTCTGTAAGTGGAACTATTTATTTTGTGTTCATGGATTTTATTGACAAGAGTGTTTGATCCAGTGGGTTTATCATAGGGTTCACATGGGGTTTATAGTGGGGTTAATTTCCAAGGGTTTATTTTCAGGACACAAGATTTGACCACAGACTCCAAAAATTATTAGTTAATTTAATCAGGCTTGTTTTAATGACTTGTGTGTGTTTAGAGTGGCAACAGAGAGGACCCCAGTGAGACCATTCAGTTGATGGGTGGACAATACATGACATGGGTTGTTTTAAAATGTAATGACTTGTGTGTGTTTTAAGTGGCAACAGAGAGGACCCCAGTGAGACCATTCAGTTGATGGGTGGACAAATACATGACGTGGGTTGTTTTAAAATGTAATGACTTGTGTGTGTGTTTAGAGTGGCAACAGAGAGGACCCCAGTGAGACCATTCAGTTGATGGGTGGACAAATACATGACATGGGTTCCAGAGTTTTGGGCATTGATGATGGGGTAAGTTAACAGCCTCGTTGGTTTCTTGCTTATGTTGTATGTAGAAGATATTCTCACTGTCTGATTAGTCATCGTTAAACTTAGTCTTATTTTGTATTTTTGTTACTCTTATCTATCGTTTACCTAATTATTCATTTTATTTTTTGACTCATTTATTTTAAGTAAAATTGTTTGACTTATTTAGTCTAATTGTATTGTTTATCTTACCTTATTTAGTCAAGTTTTATTGTTAACTTTACTTAATTTAAATTTAATTATTCATCTTATGTAATCTCATGTTTGTTTTTTTGTCCACATACTTATGCTTTCCTCTAGTTTAGAGATAAATTTTAGTTAAGCTGAAATCCCTCTATCATAGTATTACATTAAGTTAAACTTATAGCCCAGCTTACAAACAACCTATACTCTTTGCGTGACTAACAAAGTGAAACTATTGACCATCTCCCTAGAGGGGCCGCTACCTGATGGTCAGGTGTCCGACTGAGAAGGAATACGGTCAGTGGAAAATTGCTTTGGAGTCCCAGACAGCAGACAACACAAGGGCCACATTTGTGCGACCAGTGCTAAAGTCCACCAAGAATTCAAGCAAAGTATTTTTTCCTGATTATCTTCCTTGTTTTTGTTTTTTTAGTCCTAGCAAAAGCCTTTTGTTGGTGGTTCTCAAACGGGTCATTAAATTCTAGATCATTTTACTTGTTAAGGAGACAAAGAAGTGACTCACAGAAACAATTCATTTTGTTACTGAAACAAGTAAATGTGTTACAGAGACAATTAATTTTGTTACTGAAACAAATAAGTATTTTACAGAACAAATTAATTATTTTTACTGAAAAAGGAAAATGTTACGGAAACATTTATATTTGTTACTAAAACAAGTAAATGTTACACAAACAGTTATATTTGTTACTAAAACAAGTAATTTTTTTATGAATTTATTTTTTGATGAAACAAACATCTAAAAACTCTGTTAGGATGATTACTAAGCTCTTAACTGATAGATATGGTACAAAGACATGGAAGCCTTGTTTGCTTTGTATTGCAAAAATTATTCTCTAACCTTATTTGCAGATGTTATGAATTTTTCCTTTAAATTGTCACTTTAGTAAAAACACCCTCTGTGTCTTGACACTAAATTGCTTGTTGTATAAACCTGTGAGGTTTCTGTTTATTCTATTTCAGAATGTTATAGTTATTGACCTTGGCAGCAGTGCTATTCGAGCAGGTATACTTGGAAATCAAGGTACCTAATTTCCTTTAAAAATTTTAAATGTTTGTTTTTCTTAAAATTTAATTAATAATTTTTAGAAAAAAATGTTTACCAGAAGATTTTATTTTACTCTGTATAAAGGCAATCTGTTTTTTTTCATTATTTTTATAGCCAGCTTACCCGAGATATTTTTCCCAAGTGTTTTGGCCGTAGACAAAGAAACAGGCAAGGTGGTGGCCATTGGCCCAGAAGCTCTAAGGCCAGACGTGAGAAACCACTGTAAGATAGTACACCCTATCAGGCCGTCCAACAAAGTAGATCAAGTGAGTCTCAATATATTAGTTTGGGCTCTGGGTTTGTGAAAAATCTGGCACCGGTGTCTGATAATGGACTCTTCTTTAAAAAAGGGGTGTTAGGTTACTGGTAGTTAACTAACCCCAACCCTGGTCCTACCGTACGCATAACCCTAATTTCTAACCATAATTTTAGTCGAGATTACAATACTACTAACAACCCAACACCCCTTTTTTAAAGAAGATTTCATTATCGGACACCGTTATCTATAATCATCCCATCTTTTAAATAGAAAGTGACTAGGAGAAGTTGAAGTATTTGGCAGATGGAGATCACTTTCTATTTGTTTCACCGTGTTGCTTTAGTGAGAACAGTTCAGCCTCAAGTTTTGTGCCCTGACTGAGGTCAGGTACTGTTTAGAGCTGAGTCGGTTCAGCAGTGTGTTACCGTAGTTAACGCCATGTTAAATGTTAATGTTACAATTTTTTAATCCTACTTGATGTAATTTAAATACATTATTTCTATATTTTCAGACCTGAAGTTAAAATTTTAAAACTAATCCTTTTTTCAGATGCACTTTATACTTCTTAGTTTATGTATAAATTCTCTTTTAATTCAGTTGAGATATTTTATTCTAATTCAGGTTGTAGTTGTCTATCATTGTTTTGCTTTATTTACCTCAAGAGTCTAATCAATAATTTTTGTTTAAACCTGACAGACAATTATCCGCCCAGTGAGTTTTTTTAATTTAACATTTTGTTTATTTTTAAACTTTGCATCCATGCAGTATTGTATTGGCAGCATGCGCTCCGCAGGCTGGTCTATGTTCTGTGACACCTGCACTTCCTCGTTCTCTCTCCGCTATTTAAGGTTGTCTGTTCTGTTGCCTTGTTGGACAGTGACATATAACTAGAGTAAACTGGATGTAAAAGTGACATATAACTAGAGTAAACTGGATGTAACAGTGACATATAACTAGAGTAAACTGGATATAACAGTGACATATAACTAGAGTAAACTGGATGTAACGGTGACGTATAACTAGAGTAAACTTGATGTAACTATTTAAATTTTGTTTGTTTATACAAGTACATGCATGTACTACCTTGCAAAAACTACTTGAATAAAAAACTAGTTTGAGTAAAGAAATTGGAAGCTTTAACCCTCCCAACACACCATTCTCCCCCATCCTCCACAAAACACACCCACTTCCCTCCACTATTTCATACATCATCAACCACCCTATCTCCCTTTTCTTATGTCTTCCTCCTTAAATTTATAAATATTTTCAGAGATTAAAATTTGTTATTAACAAATGTATTAATTTAACAATTATTTTATTTATTTCAATTATTACATCACAAATTTAAATGTTTTTAAACATTTGTTATTAACTCTGAAGCAGATTGGTTTGAGCAGCTAATTAACATTGATGCCATGCCATATTTGAACAAGCTTTTACCATAATTAATTTTCAGTTTTTTTTACTTAAGATGTTATTTTCTTGACAATTTGATTAAAACTCTGTTTTAAAACTTGCTTTAGGAACATATTACACTTGGTACTGTTGGATATATATATGGGTTAAAAGGCTAGCTTTAGCCAATGAAATATGGGATTATATATGTGTATACACATCCAAGTAGTCTAACTAGTGGAGAGGAGTTTTGATACATGCTTAGCTATAGATAGTAAAACATTACCTTATTTTAAAAAAAAATTAGATTAATGTGAATAGGCTTTGTCAAATCATTTTGTCAAAGTGCTATTTTGTATTTTCAAATAGTTGCATTTAAAAAACACTCAAAAACTATCTTTTTATGTTGCTTTATAAATGCTAATAATTGTGCTAGGTTTTAAATAAAACTCTATACCAGGGGTCTGCAACCTGCGGCTCGCGAGCCGCATGCGGCTCTTTTGATATCAAGATGCGGCTCTCCAGCTCCTTGAACAAATACTAATAATCTTAATAAAAAAAAAAATATTTGAAATAAAAAAATGTTAGTGGCTCTTTAAAACCAGGGAAATTTTGAAAATTGTAACTTTTGGCTCTTCCGCTTCAAAAGGTTGCCGACCCCTGCTCTATACTGTTTAAATACAATGTTTTATTCACTTATTTTTAGCTTATAGATGGTAAAATATGATTTACTGAAATCTTTTTTAAAGTTTCAAGTTTTTTCTATTTAACTTTGTATGATATTTACAGCACAAGCAACACATATAAATGGTTTATATAGTTTTTTATGTTTGCTTTTGCATGGCCTAATATTGTATAACTCATTTCTTACATGCACTATACACTAGGGCCAGGGACTGCTTTCTAAAATAAAATACTTAGAACATTTTTTATTGAGCTTCCAAGAAGAGTTTTTATAAAACTGCAGACTCAACATTTCTGTGACTGCCAAATTGTTGTTTGTACCTCTGGTTTGATATGATTTATGCTTGGTTTAAAACTCTAGAATTAAAGGGACGTAACTCAGTGTTGATTCTTTATTTTCCAGTTTAATATTGAACTCCAGTACATGGGGCTGATCTTTAAAAAAGTTGTGGAGGATCTGAAAATTAATTCTTCTGATTATTGGGTAAGTTTTTCACAGATGTCTAGGCTCTGTTCCCTACAGCATTATTAAAATACGAGCCGGCCCGCGGCATAACATACACCGCTATTTAGTTGTTTCTAATTTTCAGTAATTCATAATTTGTGAATTCGACAGTACCAACGCTGACACTGAAAATATTTCTTTAAAACACTATAAGTAGCTCGTTAAGGACCATAACCCCCCCCCTTCCTTCCCCCCCCCCCCTCCCTCCCCCCCCCCCTACGTTTAAAATCGTTGGCTCTGCTTGTAAACATTTAGAGTGAAAACAGCTCACTAAAACCATGTAGGGGTGGGGAGGTAGGGAGCGCGTGTTTACAGCTTGTTTTCTAGGCGTTTGCAGCTTGTTTTCTAGGCGTTTGCAGCTTGTTTTCTAGCGGCTCCCAGAAGAGAATTATATATATAGATTGTCTTAAATTTTAAAGTTGGTTGTCTAACCTGAGTGACTAATATATATTGTTCCTGTATTTTGAAATATGATGATTACACTATTTTCTTGGCTGCATGTAATTATTTTCTAAGCCGCGGAGACTTACTTTATTTTTATATATTAATTCAAAGTAATTTTACGTCTGCCTAATTTTATTTGTCAGTAAAAAAAATTCCATTCATTTAATAACAGGATATACATAAAAACAAAAATCACGAAATGAAAAATATGTGTAAACTTCCAAATATCTATTTTGTAGAATTATATGAAATATACATCTGTGTCATCATAAAAAGACATTATTGTTGCCTATTCTGCTGATTAAAATAAAAACAATATAAAATAAGTAGCAAATATCTTTCAATAAACTTTAGACTATTTAAAGTCAAAAATCCTCTTCTAAATTGTGATTTTTATAAAACATTTTTTCCTGTATGCAGAAATTAAAATGTTCCCCTTTTCAAACTTACCCAGGTGATGCTGAGCACCCCTCAGAATCTGGGAGATGCGCTGAAGCGTGGCCTGATGGAGAAGCTGGTGGACCAGCTCAACAGTAGGGGTGTCTGTATGGTCCAGCAGGCCTTGTTGTCCCTGTACTCATACAAGGCCACTTCAGGCATCATAGTGGACATTGGTCACAGGATAGAGATACTGCCCATATTTGACGGTTTGTATTTTAGATACAATAAACATTTTAACATGTTGTTTATAGTGGTTCTGTGTCACACTGAACTTTTAATTAACAGGTTTTGTTATTGAGGGTGGGGTCGGCGTGGTCCAGTCAGTAAAGCTCATGGTTGCTTAACCGAAAAGTCTCAAGTTCAAACCTTCAGGCAGATAATGCTCATTAGCTGGGGACAGCCACTCTTCTAGGAGAGACAACTCCAAAATCAAACAACTGCTGCCTTGTAGTTTGTTCTTGGTTGGACAAATGCTATGGAAGCAAATCCAAAAAAAAAGCAGGCTGAAATCGGAGTCAATGGCCTCAATGGTGCATAACTAGATGACACGTATACTTAATTGTGTTGGAGGTGATCCACTCCAACACTAAAATTAAGAATGAAGAAGAAGAAGAAAGAAGTTATATTGAGGGCGGTGTGTCACATTGAACCTATATTTCACAGGTTTTGTTATTGAGGGCGGTGTGTCACATTAAACCTATATTTCCCAGGTTTTGTTATTGAGGGTGGTGTGTCCCGCTGTCCTTTTGGTGCCCAGAAGGTCCTGGAGTCCTTGACGACCTCACTGCTGGGCAACAATTACAAGTTCATGTCCAGCACGGAACAGTGGCTGGTCAGGTACATCATGGAGCAGGTGGGTTTCTGCAGGCTAGGAGAGGTGGTTATTTAGTCAGGTACATCATGGAGCAGGTGGGTTTCTGCAGGCTAGGAGAGGTGGTTATTTAGTAATTAGATGGGTTTCTTTAGGTTTAGGGATGGGGGGTGGTCATTTGGTGGGCTTCTTTAGCGTAGGTAATTACATGGGTTCCTTTAGGGTATGGGGAGGTGATAATCAACGTTCAGGTTTCTTTGTGAGAGGTTTTAATTGACAAGTGGGTCTCTTTGAGGTAGTGGATTTTGTAATTAGCAGATGGGTTTCTTTAGAGTAGGGGAATTGATGACTAAGGAGTGTTGGGGAAATAGAGTGTAGAATTTTCTTGCCTGAACATTACCTGTATACTATTTCAACTAAAGACGACCGTAAAAGCCATTAATTTGTCTTCTCCCATCTCAGAGCTGTTATGTGGCCATGGACTACAAGCAGGAAGAGGAGTGGTGCAGGAGTCGCCCTGAGACCATCAGATCAACTGTAGAGTTCAAATCCTTCAGTCTACCTGACGGGTCCTACATGTCAGTAGTCTGCGCCTGATTTTTACCGCAATTTCAGGATTATCATGAATTTGGAAAATCTCATTAGTTATTTAGCTAAAATAACTTGTTTTCTAAAGCTGTATAGACTGTTTGAATTTAATCTGCTCAAGATCAAAACTAAAAAAGTATTTACTCATTCGATTACATCACTTGTGTCATACTGTTAATTTTTTTGACCTTGATCAATATGTTGACCTTGAGGAACATGTTGACCTTGATGAACAAGTTGACCTTGAATCTCTCCCCAGGAGTGTTGAGCACGACCTGAGCAGGTTTAAGAGCCCGGAAGGATTTTTTAATGCCGACCTGTGGGAGATGGATTATCCTACGCTGCAGAAGTTAATCCACCAGGCCATCCAGACCTGTCCCATGGACAACAGGAGGCACATGTGGAGGTGGGGCTTTACCTGTCTGGCGTAGGCCAGACTAAGTCAGTTTAATTAATTTAATGACTAGTTAAACATCTAATTTTTATTAAATTAAAAAAATAGATAGACTTGTATTGTCATTGAAGCGGAACATATCTGGAAAGTTTGAACGAAATCGCTGCATTAGAAGTGGGTCAAAATTGAGTTACGAGATTTGCCACAAACCCACAAACAAACAAAAAAACAAACAGACGTTGTGAATTCAATAAAAGCTTGTAAAAAGGGCCAAGTTGTGATGCTACAATTGCCACCTGTCTGGTTGTGATGTTTCCTCTCACCTGTTTACAGGGCTGTGTACCTGAGTGGGGGTCTGACCATGCTGCCAGGATTTGCTGAGAGATTAGAGAAGGAGCTGACCAAACTGGCACCTCCAGGTGTGCCAGTGGAGGTAAATATTGGATGTTGAATCAAGGGAGGGAAACATTGGGGCTTGATCTAAGAGAGGTAACCTGGTATGTGTGTTCTAAGGGAAATAACTCATTTAAATGCAACTCAAAAAAATTGTTTAGCCTGATTCTAGCTGGAAGAAGATGCACATAGCTGTACAATTACCAGGGGGTTTTTTTTTGTTATCTAAATGTTTGATGTTTAGGCCTATGTGTTGTGTTGAAGGGACAGGGATTAACACTATAAATAAATAAATACTAGAGGCTATTACAAAAGATTTTTAATAAAATATTTTTTATACTAAATTTTTTGACTAGCACTCTTTACTTAGATGTACTATAACTATACTCAACCCCTGACTACTAGCATGATCACATGGTACAGACAGTTTTGTCTTAAGAATAAGGCTAAATGAGTAATATGAGCCCATTGCGGAACCTCTAGCTCATTGCGCAGTAATTGAGGTCATTGCATTTTGCATCTTCTGCCATCCAGACTATCACTTGGGGGAAGAAGCTACTTTTGAGTTGTCACTTCAGTTTATTAAAGGCTTTTATACATTCTTTAAGTATGTGTGTGTCTCTGCAAATTTTGGAATATTAATCTAACCCACTTCCTGTTGTTTGATTGAGTTGAAATTTGGCACGATGCTAAATGTTTGATGACAGTGCAAGAATATATAAATATTTTTCTTTCCTGTTAAATTAAACTTTTTTTTTTAAAATTGATATTCCACTTCTTTTCCTACGTTGATTAGCAAAATATCATGTCAGGTGTGTTAAGTAAGTGTTGTACTGCCTGCAGGTGCATGCAGCTCCTCAAAGGTACCACGCCGCCTACGTCGGGGCTTGCTCCGTGGCGCTGATGCCCCAGTTTGAAGACATGGCCATCTCTCGAGAGGAGTGGAAGAAGAATGGCGTCAGGGCTTTCAAAAAGTGGCAGGCGCCTGCATCGTAACCAGTTGGTATCTCAATACAATCCACAACAGACTAGAACAATTTTTGTTTAAATTCCATGGTCTCAACACAATCCACAACAGACTAGAACAATTTTTGTTTAAATGCCATGGGCTAGGACTGGAACTTAGTTCTTTATAGCAATGTATGTATGGCAAAGTGCACTAAAAGTTTAGAATTTGGTGTGCAGTTGTCTTGAAGGGATTATTAGCAGATTGATGTGTTGTGCATAAAGTGCGAAGAAAGTTTAGAATTTGGTGTGGAAATTTGTGCAGCTGTCTTGAAAGGGATTTGTAGTAGGTTGATGTGTTGTCCACATAAGCTTAGTGTATGTGTCACATTCATTTCTCACATTAGATTAGTTGTATCACTGTCATTCCTCACAGTCCATAGAAACTTAGAATTGTACATATGTAAATAGTTAACGTTGATGTAGATCTTCTCTCTAGTTCTATATCAAGTGAAGGAGATGTTTTGATGAAAATTTGATTGTGATGGAAAAAACCCCATAAAATAATGTAAATAATAGAAAACCGTGCAAGTGAATGTTGTGGTTGTGCTGTAGGTGCTATTGAAGTGGTGCATGTGATGTGATGTGATGTGCTATTGAAGTGGTGCATGTGATGTGATGTGATGTGCTATTGAAGTGGTGCATATGATGTGATGTGCTATTGAAGTGGTGCATGTGACGTGTTGTGTTGTGCTATTGAAGTGGTGCATATGATGTGATGTGCTATTGAAGTGGTGCATATGATGTGATGTGTTCAGCTACGTTTTCTCCTTGCTGAGTTGTATGAGGCAGCATAATTCCCATATTTTTTCCTTTATTGTTTTAAACTCTTCACTATCCTAATCATTCACCGGTCATGATTTCTAAATAAAAAGATAAAAGATATAAGCCCTCTCGCTTGATCGACCTAGCTAATTTGCATATCCTTATTGGTAAGATGGTTTATCTTGTACTTAGAGCTTAAAAGATACTATTTATTTTTTTTTAAATTGTTAAATCAGAAATAAATTAAGTTAGACACTCAATAAATTGATTTATAATTTTTTTTTTACCCAGTTAAAAGATTATTATTAATTTGATAACATGTAAATATATATCTTAAATTACTTTTGTGTAATGCAAATTTTTATAGAATTTTTTTAATACATTCCACTATTGTTCAACGATAAATTTTACAATCCCAATTTAAATAAAAACTGGAAAGATACTCCTGCATTATCCCCTGCAGATTGTGATACAAACTTTTACCTTTGATGCCTATGGAATCTCTCATGCTATTTTTTAACTCAGCATTTGTATTCCTAGCATATTTATAAATAACTTTTAACCCATTAACCATCCTCCAGGACAAGCACATTGTTTTTGTTCACGTTGTGATGTATTTGCCTTATGTCAAAAGAATTGATGAAAACGACTTTACTATTTTGGCGCCTGAGTATTTTTATGTTAATTTCCTTGGATTTATCTTAAAAAGTATTTTATCAACTTGTTTGTTTTTAACGTGGTTAAACATTAATATTTGTATTGATGTACTATTTTTTTTAAACACATAACCTTTCAATCCTGAAATGTAAAAAATTGACCTAAACTGTTTTGGGTCTTAACCATCTAAAGGTCTTCTGTCCGAAGTGTAAATGTTCTTAAATTATACATTGGAGGCTGCTAACACTTACTTTATGGTAGTTATTTTTTTATATATTTTTTATATTTAATGGTTATTTTTTTTAAATATCTAATGATTGTTTTTTTTAAAAATATTTTATTGCTTGCTTTAATGCTACACCCATTTTGATTTAGATCAGGTGTTTTGATAGAACAATTGACTTTCATACCAAGCTGACATTAAAATGTTGAGTTATCTCCCTTACATTGGTGAGAACCTGCAATGATCAAAATGTGAATTAGGTTTAATCCATGGCTGGTGGTAGTGTTTAGGTTCCCTGGTGTCTAGATAAGAAATGTTAGCTTTTATCAGACATTGGCATCTATTGTTCAAAATTTAAGATGTAATTGTAGTGTGGGCTGTAAATTGTTGAACCAAATTCTTTTAAGCACTTCATATCCTTCAAAAGAAATATATTTTTAAATTTTTTTAAATTGTTTACCAGATTATTTTAAAAAGTACAGTAGTTCTTTGTTTTGTTTTTAATAAGCAGATTTTTGTGCACTAGATTAGTTGAAGGCACTTGTGATAATCTAGTATATATATAATAAAATTTGAAATATCAAAATTACTTGGAAAACCTTGCTTTTAAATGCAAGCATTGCATCCATTCGTGTGTTTCTCTGTTGTTTTGTCTTTACACCATACAATAGACTCCCATAAGTTTCTCTATTCAAATGTAATATTTATTTTTTACCCTATGTTTTACTTAAACAATTTGTTTTCTGTTAAAATTGTAAATTTTTTTTTTCAATGTTGTTTTATTAATGGAACAAAAAAATTTTAATTGTTGATAAACTTGTATGGAAACTTGCATTTAGATCTGAGATGTACATTTTATTTATTTTGCTTGAGGAAATATATTTTTTAATGTCAAGTTGGTTAATTCTTGAAATATTTTTCTTTAACAGAAGTAACTTTTTGAAGCCTGAGCTCTGTATGTTGTTATGATATGATGTGTTTAAAGCAGCTGTATGATGTCATGTATTTTAAACACATTATTTTATATAAAAACACAACCTTTGTATCAGAGGCGTAGCGAGGGGGGAGGGGTGCGGACCACACAGGGTGACACCATTTAGGGGGGTGACACCAAGGCAAAAAATAGCAAAATATATAGAGAAAAACTTGAGGGGGGGTTGCAAATCGAAAGTTTGAGGGTGGGGGTGCAAATTGAAAGTTTGAGAGGGGGGGGGTACAAATCGAAATTTTGAAAGTTTGTCCCCTGGAAGGGTCGCTACGCCTCTGGGGGGGTGACACCATTAAGTGCCGCACCGGGTGACACCCGACCTCGCTACGCTACTGCTTTGTATCACATCAAGTGGTCAGACATGTTTAAACTTTGGGCTCTTGCATAAATCAGGTCTGGGGGAGATAAAGAGGGGGGGGGGGGTCAGATTTGTGCTGCTCAAAGCAGGAGGGTAGGGGGGGGTAAGATGACAAATGTAATTTAGCAATTCATTTTTTTTAATGATTGTGTGGCAATTTGGGGTATAATTTACATGATGTGCAGGGGGCGGGGTGTAAAATAAATTTTGGACTACCACTTGTGATGATACACTTTTGTATTGTAAAATGTGCTAGTTAGTTAGTTAAAGATGCTAGTTAGTTAGAGACCAAGTCGGTAGTTTTTGTGGTTGTTTTTGATTTAGTCATTCAAAATTAAACTGCTGCTTATGTTAGTGTCAGCTGAAACTTGTTTTTAAAAAAAAATTTGCCTGTATTTTCCTTACATTTATTTGATTTTAAATCGTAACATGAGCATTTATGATGTATTCAGTTGTTCAAGTCTTTTAGTCTTTACCCCACCCATACCCCCACTCCCTTTATGATTAAACTTAATTTTTATCAATTCCATATAAAATTAGCATAGTTGTGAAGACAGAATCATTGTATAGTTCTCTTCAACATTCCATTTTAAGCTGATATATTTTGTGGAAAATCTTTTTAAAAATGATTCCAGTGAATTAGTTTGTTTGCAACATTCCACTTTAAGCTTGTATTTTTGTGAAACATCTACTAAAACAATTCCAGTGAATTAATTTGTTTGCAAAGCTTAAATTTTAAAAAAGGATGTTAGTGAATTTGGCTTGTTTTTAACATTCCATTTAAGCCAGTATTTTTGTACAACATATTTTTTTAAATGATTCCAGTGAATTTGATTTTTTTGGAATATTCATTCCATTTTGAACTGGCATTTTGTGAATCATCTGTTTAAAAAAAATTCCTGCAAATTCACTTGTATGTAAAAGCTTGAATTTTTTTCCTCAAAAACATTCCCTGTGAATATGAATTTCATAGTGTGTTAACATTCCAGTTGAGCAGTTAAAAATGTTAGGATTCTTGCAGCTAACCTTTGACCTGTGGCTGATATAAAGCCTAGAGTTGAAAGGTCAAATGTAATTGTCCTCTCATTTGTTTGCTTACACTTACAATTTTTATTAAATGGTTGCCTTACTGATATATCATTCCGTATTCACTCTTTTGATATTTATAACATTCCACTTACACACTATAACTTACATCATTTATAACCTATTTATATTCCAATTGTCTGTATATCTGCTTACAGGTGTAAGCTTTTTAATTTATTTTTTTAAGAACCAGAGCAAACATGGTTAACGAGGATTTTAATCAACAGCTCCATCAGAGTTTTTATCTTTTATTTTGTAATTATTGCTGTAAGTGTATAAATGAAATGTTATTCCAACAAGGGTTTATTGTGATGCTTTCTTTTGAAAAAAAAATAATTTGTTGTGTATATATATAGACTAAAAAATAATGTACTAGCAGCAAAGATGATTTGGTTTTTTAAAAAATTAGAATTTACAAATTAAGTGTAGTTGACATATCTTCAGTAGTCTAAAACATGTCGCCAAGTTTGTTATTTCATTGGTTTCTTAATTTAGTTGTGGGTTTGCAAGTCTAATGTTGGTTTTAAAAAAATGTATATTGCAAGATCCACTAACGATAAAACTAAATATACCCATTGCTCAGCACTGTCCTGATATACAAAAATGAGCTGAACAAATATCAAGAAGCAAAAAAAAAATTTATTTCATAACTTCATGAGCTGGACCAATTCGTACATTTGAAAATATTCATCGATTAATGCAGAACCAACAGTGTTAGACATGAAACCTGTACTCTCTCACTGAGAATTGTCATTGTGAAAAAAAAAAACACCTGATTGTAATGAAGGCTCTCCCTAGCCTATGTACACAATTTAAAAAAAAAACATTCCATAGATTTTAAAATGGCTTCTAATTTACATGAAAAAAATAAAAACAATTTTGCTAAAGCAGTTTGATTTCTCTACTTTAGACCCATTCAGTGTTTAAGTATCACAAATCATGATAGTTGACAAACTTGACATATACAGGACTCCACCTCTGGCACATAAACAAACAAACAAACAAACATACAGTAGTCATAGACTAGTGCAACATTTCCATAGCACTTACGCCACACCAACATACATTTTCATACGTCAACATTTCCAACACATCCTTTCAACATACAAACACATACAGTAGTTAAGACTCGTGCACAATTTCCAGAACGAATCCAATGTTACACCAACTATAAATAGATATTTGCTATTATGTGATAAATAATTACAATAACGATGCATGTAACAAATACAGCGTAATACATGTGAAACTTGTTTATTGCACACAGTAAACGTATCCTTCAAATAAGGCATAGAGATATCATTTTTAAATGACGTAGTGTCATTCCAGAACCAACCATGTCAAAAATCTGATTTTTCAAACAAGCTTAACAAAAAAATAAAAACCAGACAAAATCTATATTTCTTTACACACTGAAAAAATTTGTGCACAGCCATTTCATAATTGAGGTCTATTATCTATTATGGTACAGGACATTCAATATTGTCTTTTTTCTGATTAGAATTTTGAAGAGAAATTAAATTTAAATTGGATACAAAAATAAACCAAAGAAATCAAAGTTTATGATACTTAGAGTTTAGAGGAATGCATAGAAATTTCCCCTTCAACCTGTTCCTTTTAATTTTAAAATTTTAAAAAGTATTTTTAAAATTCATGTTGTTTTAATAACCTCATTGAAAACAAATCATTCTGGAGTTGTTAAAGTAAATAAAACTTCAAGTTAAAATAGTTATGAACAAAAAAATTCAATTAAAATAGAAGTACTTTGTGTTTTGTCCAGGAGACCTATGTGACAACAGGACAAATATATTAAAAACAGATTAAATAGGAGCCTAAAATTCCAGCTTTTTTTCCCTCTTCTCAATATGGTTAGTTTAGTCTAAATTACAATCATCACCTATCATGATTGTTAATTTTAATAATTATAAAATTAATGACAAATAAAGAAAAACTGAGCAACCTCAGCATTTCCTCCCCACAAAACTTTTGAGTCTAGAAAAACCAAGTTTTGACAGTATGCACATTGTATGACTAAGACTTTAGTCAACAGTTCATATAATTTATATCTTCAATTTAACTTAAAATATATGCAAAGTAATATGATACGTTCTTATAAGTAACAAACTTTATATAATATATATGCTGTAGACATATATCATATAAATACAAATAAGACATGCTGTATAAAGTTGTATTTGTACTTCGCTAATGATACTATACAGAGAGCATATCTTGAAACATCTTTTATATTTAAAAAAAATTGTTATACAATCCTACTGTGTTGTGGGTGACAAACTTGATGTAAGCCAGCCCTGCAGAGATGTCTGCATATGACAATACAGTAAGTTAGATATGTGGTTAGTGTTGAGGCTGAGTCTTGGTCAGGCCTAAGGCTGATTCATTCAGGCTCAAGGCTGATTCATTCAGGCTCAAGGTTGATTCATTCAGGCTCAAGGCTGATTCATTCAGGCTCAAGGCTGATTCATTCAGGCTCATGGCTGATATATTCATGCTCAGGGCTGATATATTCATGCTCAGGGCTGATTCTTGTTCAGGTCGAGGATGAGCCCTTTTATTTCCTGCTCAAGTTTACAATAGATTGTCCAGGTGCCCAAGACCACTTGAACTTTATCCTTTGCCGAATGGAAATTTTAAAACTAGCCCAACGAACACAGAATTTATTTTGAATTTTTCACTCGACTATGAAAACTTTCCATTTAAAATTTGAAGCTTAGTAAAGTCAATCTGGCTGAGTCCAGATTATGAATAGATTACACAAAGGTTTAATCCTCATGTGCAACATGGCTTGGTTCATCAATATGGTCATTACATACTGCAAAGGCACGAAAGAATAGCAGCAAAAAATAATTGTCTGATCAGTCAGTAAAGCTTAATCTAGTTTTTTTAATTATTTTTTTTTGCTTTTGTGACTATATTGTCACTATATCCATTTCAGTGTGATGAAGAGTAATATGAAATTTTACAAAATGAACAACAACTATTACAATTGGTCAATATCTTTCAGTAGATCTTCTATAGTATAATCCACAGATAAACTTTTACATAATATTCCGCTATGGAAAGCATTCTAGAGTATATTCCACTCAGAAAAAAAAAGCCACTGTGATTTTGACTTCTTTTATCAGCATTTCACAAGTTGAAAAAAACAGGTCCACAATGCACTGCAGTACAAAGCTACTGTCAGACATTCTAAGGTCCAATTTTTAAATTTTTAAAAAATCTTTTTTAAAGCTCCATGTTTTATTCACAAAAAAGTAGAATAATCCTCTTAGAATATTTTTTTCAAAAACTGTAATAAATATTGGGACTTATGTAATCCAGTGAATGAACGAAATAAAAACTTGTGCTACACTATCAAACCGTTGTGACAGATAGCAAAGGATTGTATGTTTTTCCATCACTGACTTTGTTACCGTGAGCTAGCATTTCCTTCACAGTCGTGAAGTTATCAAACACTTTTTTACCCTTGTACTTCATCATCTTCCTGTGGCTCAGCTCCACAATGTTTATCTCTTTCTTCTCCTCTGTTTCTTTCAGAGTTTCCATTTTGGCTTTGACCAGGAGTTCTTTCTTCTTTTTGTAATCTTTAGCTTTTTCTAGATGGCGCTTACGGTCTTCTTTCGACCAGTAGCGGCCTGTCTTCATTTCTGACATGGCGTCGTCATCAGTCGTCATGCCGCATCTTTCCTCGCTGATTTTTTTCGCTCTTTCTTTTAATAACCGGCTTCTAACCGGGCGACGGGTGATGTAACGGGTGCCGTCAGGTCTGCGTTTGACCACCCATTCCATCTGACCACTGTCTGAAGGGGCGGTTTGACCTGGGCTATTTTTAGCACCATCAGGCGCAGCTTCGTTGCCGCTGGCTGGAGTTACGTGGCCGGGTGAGTTTCCGTGGCCACGCACCCTAGCCTGCTGTTCAAGCTGTTGCTGAAACAGCTTTTGTTGTACAGCAATCGTGTGTTGTAGGTTGGCCCGGTTGGTGTACATAACATCCGCACAGCGCAGGTATAAATCCTGCAGGGATTCGCCCATCTGTCCTGGGTTCAAACCTGCTTTCATGCTCTCGGCGATGCTTATTGCTTTAATCGTATGAGAAGAACTGGAGCCTTTTTTATTGTGGCCGCGGCCGCTGTCTTCGCTAGAATAGTCTCTGGGTTTAGTGGGTGTTTGTGTCTGTTTCTCTGTGTCACTGGTAACTATGGCTGACGGCCCTGAAGAGGGTGTGGCTAGACACAGCATGGACCCGCTCAAGTGCTGGCTGTGATCGTCCGAGGCCGGGTTCAGCTCGAGGGTGAGGGGCGTGCTGCGTGAGGACTCCCCAGTGTTGTAGGCACTGGTGGTGGTCCACATGTCTTTGTCGCACAGGCCGATGTTGGTGTTGTTGTTGGAGCTGAGGCCTCGGCTGGTGGACGACATTGTTGACGACACAGACGAAGGAACGGTTGAGCCGTTGTACGGTTTAGCCGTGGGTGAACCGTTCGTGCTGCTGACAGCGCTGGTTAACGGCGGTGTGGTGTGGCTGGGGCTACCGGGCGCTGACATGCCGGGTTTCCTGACCAGCCCAGATTCTGCTGGGTGTTTCATGTACTCGAGGCGCGTGCCCATGCGGGGGACGATCCTTGGACTTTTCTGTGTGTCCCCACGTAAAACGGACTCGTTGTAGCCCAGTCTTTGCTGCTCTCTCATGTGGTTGTCAACCAGATCCTGGCATTCCACCTGCATTGAAAAACAAATTTTTTTTAAAACTTTCCATTGCATAAATATTCTAAAATGATAAAAATCATAACTAATTGATAAACAATAGTTCAAATATGTTGCAAATTAAAGATTAAAGAAAAAATAAAATAAACAAAAATTAACTCGATTAAATAATTTTTCTAGCTGTTAAAACATTTATTTTCAATTTTATTTTGAAAATTATAATTTTAAAAAAACTTATTATTACTTAAGCTTTAAAAATTGTATTTTAATTTTGAAATTTTTCATGAAACAAAAAAATATTTTTTTCTAAATATTAACCTGAATATCTTCCATTTCCCTGTTTAAAATTGCCAGCTCTCTCTCCAGGCTGCTCTCAGAGTCCTTGCGTCCTACTGCACGCTGGTCAATTATGTCCCGCAATTTGCTGCACATGTCAGCCGGAATGTCACTGCTGTCAGGGTTGGGATGGCCGTACTTAGATAGCATGGGGGGCCTGGCCAGGCTGTCACAATCAAATGTTTCCTGGTGGGGATGACATGTAATGGCTGCAATTATCTGGCCAACTCTTAACAAATTATCAGAGAATTTTTTTTTTTTTCAACATGGCAATCCTGCACTAAGGTCCTTAGCTTTACTTGTTGCCATGAGATGAACATTTCATTGAATGAAAATCTGAATTTTAACATGTGATATTTGCTTTTTAAAGTCACACCCAGCGTAGATAAAAAATAATATACCTAGTTTATAATTACTTTATAAAACTCTTAAAAGTACTGTGTTATTATCTAAGAAAAACTTGCATTAATGTGTTATGAAAGTTGTGTTCCTCATTTTCACAGTTTAAAAAATGCCAGATAGTAATACATTATCTAACTAAACTAGGTTGGTTAAAATGTTCATTTTAATATATCTTTTTAATTCGAAATTAGGAACAGTAGAAATAAATTAAAAAAAATTTTCTTTATATAAAATTTTAAAAAAATCTTTTTAATCATTCAAGCAAATAATTCAAGCAAATAATTCAAGCAAATAATTCAAGCAATACAAACCTGTTCTGAGCTCTCCTCATTGCGTGTGCTCTCATCTGTCCGGCCGACTCCGCTGTCTTTTTCATGCTTTTGTGACGAGTTCTCTGTGGTGGCAGTGTCGGTTGTGCCCCCTTCCTCATCTAGGTGGCGCTGTAATTAAAATTTGAAATCATTGATTTAGCCGTGATGCAGTAATCCCTTGGGTTGGGTAGTAATTAATAGCAGTAATTATTGGTGCTAATCAATTATCCTATAGATTTTTATAGCAAATATAACCAAGCAACTTAAGCCTTTACCAAAAGACTAAATTTTATAATTTATAATCTTATATAGGTATGGCAAAAAATATACGAGACTCGTCACATTTTTGCCTCTAACTAATCCCCTAGGGGTTCTCAGAGTCAGATTAAATATACCTCATTATTAAGAACGTATTAAGAAATAACAATAAGTGTTTCCATACATTTTAATTCCATACAGTTTAATTCTATTTTTTTAAATAATTTTTTTAAATGGATTACCCTTGCCAACATGGCTGCCATAAATTGCATGTTGTCATGGTGATGCTGCTCCAAGAGGTCAAGGTGAAGGTCATCAAGGACAACATTAGGCTCCTCCATGAAGCCATCATCACACTGAGAGGAGGAAATGGAAGAGAAATTAGTTTTTTTGTTAAAACTGATTAGCTGATTGTAGGTAATCCCTTGATTAATTAGATTTATTAATTAGCTAATTAAATTTCCTTCCAATGACATTTAAAAAGTATCTTTGCTTTTTTTTTTTTTTTTTTGTTGTTAAAAGATTCTACTGCATGAATTTCTGACTGTCCAGAAAAAAAAAAAGCCAATGCTACTGGTTTCAAAATTATTGTAAACTTTATTTTTCCATTGCTTTAGAAAACTTTGTATCAACATTTATTTAATTAATATATGTACAATTTAAACAAACAAAAAACGATGCAGAGATCTTGTAAGGGGAGACAACATAATCTTAAGTAGTACATAAATAAGGGAGATAATACAAGGGGAGAATGTACGCAGGGGAGACAACAGTGTAGTGAAACAATGTTGGCAAGACAATCATGTAGGAAAAACAAACAGTTAGGAAAGACAACCACGCGGAGACTACATCAGGGGAGATAATTCCTCACCTGAAGCTGAGCTCTGGCCACTGTCAAGGTGATATCAGTTCCATTCCCAGAGAACAAGGAAATGGCCTCCGACCTGCTTCTGACGTCTACACCATTGATCTGCAACAACAACAAAATATACACACACGATGAAAACAACTCAAACCAAATATTTTCAAAATCATATTCATGTTTATATCTGTATCTCTAAGTATACGACATCTAAACTGGGCATGAGATTTTTTAAGTCAGGAGAGTTTTGTAAATAAATTAATTTTTACCTGTACAATTTGATCCCCTTCCCTAATTCGACCATCTCTTCCAGCAATACTACAAGGATCTACCTGTAAATTAGAAACAACGTTTGAAATATATGAAATTGTCAAGCAGTTTGACTAAAAATAAATAGACTTACGAGATGGATGTATAAGAAATCAACTTTTAAAGCAATGAGAGTTACGGGAAAACTAATTTCTTGCCGTACAATATGACCCCACTTTTACCACAACTGAGTAAAAAAAAAACAATAGCGTGTCTGGGTGAGTTGGTGGAGGGGTCAAAAGGTCAGTCAGTACATCTCATGGGGTTATCGATAACACGTCACTCAAGTTACAAGGGAGGAGTTGGTTAAGTGGTAGAGGTGAACGGGTAGGGGTAAAGTTTGGGTAAAGTTAAGTGGATTAGGAGCCAGTCTTGATAGTGTATAGAACACAAAGTGCTGTTGTCTGTTGTTTAGGTGGTGTTGTATGTTGTGTAGGTGGTGTTGTATGTTGTGTAGTTGGTGCTGTCTGTTGTGTAGGTGGTGTTGTCTGTTGTGTAGGTGGTGTTGTCTGTTGTGTAGTTGGTGCTGTATGTTGTGTGGGTGGTGTTGTCTGTTGTGTAGGTGGTGTTGTCTGTTGTGTAGTTGGTGCTGTCTGTTGTGTAGTTGGTGCTGTCTGTTGTGTAGGTGGTGGTGTCTGTTGTGTAGTTGGTGTTGTATGTTGTGTGGGTGGTGTTGTCTGTTGTGTAGGTGGTGTTGTCTGTTGTGTAGGTGGTGTTGTCTGTTGTGTAGTTGGTGCTGTCTGTTGTGTAGGTGGTGGTGTCTGTTGTGTAGTTGGTGTTGTATGTTGTGTGGGTGGTGTTGTCTGTTGTGTAGGTGGTGTTGTCTGTTGTGTAGTTGGTGCTGTCTGTTGTGTAGGTGGTGTAGTGTTGTGTAGCTGCTGTTCTAGATGCTGTAGTGTGTTGTGTAGGTGATGTGGTCTGTTGGGTGGGTGCTGTGGTCTGTCGGGTAGATTCTATAGTGTGTTGTGTGTCTGCTGCAGTGTGTTGTATAGGTATTATTGTCTGATATGTTGCTGATGTAGTGTGTTGTGGGGCTGCTGTTGGTTATTGTGTACAGGATCCAGCATGTTACAGCCAGGATAAGACACATTCCAGAACATTCTTGTAGTGACCTATTGAGAAGTCGAGTACCTAGCGAGTCAAGTTGTCGAGACATTATCCCTCATGATAAAATGTAGTGTGGAAAATGTAGTGTGTTCGTTGAACACAGCTCCAAACAGGTGAGACAAAATTTAAATAAGAGTAATTCAAGAATTCCTGTTTACGTATACTATTTTAAAAAAAAACAGAATCTGTCAAATGTAATTTAGATCTTCGAATTCTAAAAAAAAAAATTCTTTAAGTTTAAAGTGACTTTGGTTTTCTTTCAGTCTGTTTATGGGCCGGTAAAATTAAACAAACACGGCCTTGACATTAACAGTAAACTAATTATATACCACGTGTAAAAAATGTCAACAACGTCCACCCTACACTGCAGCCTTACACATCCCGTTACCGCCCTCGTGAAACCACGAGACTGAAATGTCTCACTTAACCGACAAACATTTACCAGAAAGAAAACAGAGATTTACCTTTTAGATGGGTGTTTAAAAAAGAATTATCATTCATCGGAAAAACCCGAACAATGACTATTAAATTCAAGTTAACCAAAGTTCTTTTTTAGGTGTACTTTAGAGTTGTCGTGGGAACTACAACTATATTTACCCGTCCCTACACCCTTGTACATGAAACATTTCACGCGAATACATATTTTTGTCTTGTACTTTTCAAAAGTGAACTCCACATCTGTTTACTGAATAGTTGTATTCATGTTAGTGTGTTGGTAATGAGATGAAGGCGAAACTTCAGCTTTCAAAATTATGTATAAATTGTGGTGTGTGTGTGGGGGGTGGGGTGGGGCGATGCCAAAATTGTAAAGTTGTGACGAGTTTCTAATTAATTATTCCTTGATGAAGACGAGGACACTCAAAGTTGTCAAACGCAGAGTTCAGAAACATCTTAACACATTCCGGCTTTTTAAAAACAAAAAAAAAACTAATCCAGCTCTCAAATAAATATTCCAGATCTTAAAGCAAATATCCCAGATCTAAAGCAAATATCCCAGGTTATAAAACAAATATCCCAGTTCATAAAACCAAATGTCTTAGATCAAACGTAGAATTTAAAAAAAAAAAAAAAGATAAAAGCTATAGCCAGGGTCAAGGTTGAAGGGGAGATGACGCCATGAATGGACCTTTGATTACTATTTGATTCGCTCGCTACATTCCCCTCCCCCCCCCCTTCCCAATCTGATAGGTCGTATGCTAAAATCAACAATAACGAAATAATAAAAGTCCGAGCGATCAATAACAGGTGTCGTCATCTTCGTGTTAAAATATCGCTCTTGTCAAATATAAAAGAGTATCGATTCTGTCTGGTTCAGATTATATAAAAGGAAATTATATCAAAGGAAACCACACAACCTCTTTAGCACTGAGGTTTCATCACCCCTCCCCCCTTCCCCAACCTTCAAGGCCGGGTGTTGTTTTTTTTTAAACTCTCAAACAGAACCGGAAACCGTATTAAACTGTCAAGCCTGATGGCGTCCTGTTAAAATAATTCCTACGATTTCTACTCAGCTGTTGAAGGGACCTGAATTATGCCACCAGGCTAAGCGTGAACACCTCTATAAATATATGGATTTTTTTTTTTACTCTCTTAACTGGCAATATAATTAATTTTAAAAATATAATACTCGCTAAACATGGGCTCCGCTATATGGGTACCCAACGTAGAGAAAGAACGGATCATTTGGTCTGATATAAATGGTCAATGTAGGTTTTTACTAGCATTTACTAATATAGAAAGGGGTCGGCGTGGTCGAGTCGGTAGAGCTCATGGTTTCTAAACCGAAAAATATTCCGGACAGGTGGGGCTCGATAGCTGGGGACAGCAACCCATCTAGGAGAGACAACTCCAAAATCAAAACAACTGCTGCATTGTAATTTTTCTTGGATGGACACAAGATATACTGAAGAAGCAAATCCAAAAAGAAAAACAGGCTGGAATTGTATACAACGGCCTATACGGCTCATTACAAGTCGACACGTAATACTTAATTGTGTTGGAGGAAATTCATTCATTCAATCTGAAGCTAAAGCTCATTTAAACAACCAGAGGGTAGAAAGTTCCACAAGAATAGATAACACACATAAAATAGAGAACCAGTGTCTGTGGTAACGTTTCATTTCTAACCAAATATGAGGCAAATAATGAACACGTTCAATCAATTAATTTATTTCCGATTCCAGACTTTTAAGAGCTTCCGAATGCACAAGCAAACGCACCATGTTTGAGTGCCCAGTATTTACTTGCTCAGGTTTTTTTAACCGAGATGTGCGCCATTAATTTAAACAACATTAAAGTTAAGCTCCTGCTTCAAGAGACGGTTCCAGGAGAAACGTACTGATATGCACGGAGAGGAAGCGCGTTTGGAGCTGTGCCAGCATCTTGACAAATAGCTCCACACGTACGAATAGAACATGCTCCGTGCACAATTTTAGTATACGGATAACTTCAGCATGTACGAATAGAAGAGGCTGCGTGCACAATTTTAGTATACGGATAACTTCAGCATGTACGAATAGAAGAGGCTGCGTGCACAATTGTAGTATACGGATAACTTCAGCACGTACGAATAGAACATGCTCCGTGCACAATTTTAGTATACGGATAACTTCAGCATGTACGAATAGAAGAGGCTGCGTGCACAATTTTAGTATACGGATAACTTCAGCATGTACGAATAGAAGAGGCTGCGTGCACAATTTTAGTATACGGATAACTTCAGCATGTACGAATAGAAGAGACTGCGTGCACAATTTTAGTGTACGGGTAGCTTCAGCATGTACGAATAGAAAATGCTCCGTGCACAGATTTAGTGTACCGGTAACATCAGTAAATAAAATGTTCCTCACACGCATTTAAAAAAGTGAATGCGAACAACGCTTGACTATTTCTTAAGCATTTAAATAAAAACCTTAATGAAATTTTATCCACATTTACAATTACTAATTAAAAAAAACACTTTAAAAATGGAATAAAATAGACATTTTTGGGTTAATATATGCACGTTTACACACACACACACACAAATATAAAAACAACCATCAGCGATGTTTACGAAAAAACAAAGACTCGACAAAGGGAACAAAGCAAGGGGCGGTCACCGCCAACATCCGGATGTTTTTATTTACTGTCTCTCGTGTGTACACGCATACATTAGACTTTTGAGAGAAACACGAACGCAGGTAGCAGAGTTTAGTCTTTGATCTAGTACATTCTCTCTACGCTACCCTGCCCCCATACCTAAGTTTCTTTCAGGCATCTCTTCGAGGGCCACAACCCCTCCCCCCCTTTCCCATCACCCACGGAGAAAGTCAACCCGCCCCACTCCCTACAATATAGAACAAAATATATAATTTACATAAAAAATTATACTTGAACCTACTAATGGAGCTGCTTCAATAAGCAGGTCAACATGTTGATATGCGCCCATCATTATAACCGTCATTAGCATCGTCATCATTATCTACACTATCATCGTCATCATTATATACACTATCATCGCCATCGTTATCTACAGTATCATCCCCATCGTTATCTACAATATCATCGCCATCGTTATCTACAGTATCATCGCCATCGTTATCTACAGTATCATCGCCATCGTTATCTACAGTATCATCTCCATCGTTATCTACAATATCATCGCGATCGTTATCTACAGTATCATCGCCATCGTCATCTACAGTATCATCGCCATCGTTATCTACAGTATCATCGCCATCGTCATTTACAGTATCATCGCCATCGTTATCTACAGTATCATCGCCATCGTCATCTACAGTATCATCGCCATCGTCATCTACAGTATCATCGCCATCGTCATCTACAGTATCATCGCCATCGTTATCTACAGTATCATCGCCATCGTCATCTACAGTATCATCGCCATCGTCATCTACAGTATCATCGCCATCGTCATCTACAGTATCATCGCCATCGTCATCTACAGTATCATCGCCATCGTCATCTACAGTATCATCGCCATCGTCATCTACAGTATCATCGCCATCGTCATCTACAGTATCATCGCCATCGTCATCTACAGTATCATCGCCATCGTCATCTACAGTATCATCGCCATCGTCATCTACAGTATCATCGCCATCGTCATCTACAGTATCATCGCCATCGTCATCTACAGTATCATCGCCATCGTTATCTACAGTATCATCGCCATCGTCATCTACAGTATCATCGCCATCGTCATCTACAGTATCATCGCCATCGTCATCTACAGTATCATCGCCATCGTCAACCAGAAAGCAGTAAATTATTAACATAATATACCACATTCTGACGTAACGCCAACGCAACCCAAAAATGTACGGTCGCAACCAGCAACCGTACAAGGACCTCGGCCGTCCATTTCTTGTGTGATGAGAATCAACACAGGAAGTGTGCAAGCAAACAGAAATAAAGCCCCATTCAACCAATCAAATCGATACTATCGGTTCACTAATAACAGTTTGATCTGGTCGCCCATGCACCCCTCCCCCCACGCACCAATCGCTCCCGCCTGTGTCACCCTCCCCCCCCCCCCCCCAACCCCACGCACCGGATATGAATCTGTGTTCAAATACAGAATGCAAATTAAAGCGATTTGAATAACTTTGCTTGTTGGGGAAGATAGGGACAAAATATTTAAATTAGTTCGAATGTTCTGCGGACCACGGGCCGCTTGTCCTGGTGTTGTAATTTAATTGTGGTCTGGCTAATGATATGAACATGGGCGGGGAATGAGGGGGGGGGGGGGGGAGGGGATCAGATGATGGGGTAACGGAGGGGGGGTTGTACACCGAAGTGTAAGAATGAATAATTAGCGACTCTAAAAAAAATACAGTCTGAGTCTAAACATCAGGTATAATCGTTAAGCGAGTCTACTGCCAACTATGATCGTTAATCGAGACTTTGGAAAAGTATGATCTTAAGCGAGACTTGTGAAAAGTATGATCGTTAAGCGAGACTCGAAAAAAGTATGATCGTTAAGCGAGACTTGTGAAAAGTATGATCTTAAGCGAGACTTGTAAAAAGTATGATCGTTAAGCGAGACTTGTGCCAACTATGATCGCTAAGCGAATCTAATGCCAACTATGATCGTAAAGCGAGACTTGTGACAGGTGTGATCATTAAACGAGTCTGGTGCCAAGTGTTGTTATTCCCTTCAAATAACGTCACGTCAATTACAAAAACGTCCATGTTTTATAAAGGCCAACAGGCAATAAATACAAGCCTTATAAAAACATTACACCCGAAAATATCCCACGCCCCCCTTCCCACCAACGGAAAAAAAATTGGGTCTATATTATTTATTTACACTGACATTCCGTCAAAGTGACAAGAAAATTGCGAATCGATTTCCTAATTCCTTATGGCTTCTCCCCCCCCCCCCTCTCTCTCTCTATTTCTCTCCTTATAAAATTCCGCCAACAAATTATTTGACAACTTCAACCAGCTATACAACAGCCAACTTAATTCCAACATAACACCCACCCTCTAATTGCCGGCACCACTTGAAGACTTAAAGCGGCGCCCCCCCCCCCCCCCACAACCACCCCCTAGCGGCGCCAACCCACAAAATGAATTCACTGGTCTTAACATGTTGTGTAACTCTTTACAAATTTTAACCTACACTTCTCTCCCGTTAAATATTTTCTTTCAATTAACGAAATAAAAAAAATATCGAAAGCTCTAAACGTCAAACTTTTTTTTTTAACCCCAACCCCTCCCCTCTTTGAACATGTCAGCTTAATTGTGTTGAATAATTTTCTCAAAACTACGCAAGTCTTTGAGTTCAAATTTTTTTTTTTAAATCTCCTTAGAATAGAGAAAGAAAAGGGGGATAATCGAAACGTTTAGTTGTAGCCCTCTTTAAACGTCACCGAAATATAATTCAGGATACACTCCTGTGAATGCTTTATTCACAAGCGTTACTTCATGAACAAATACCCCCCTCATAGATAGACTTGGGCGTATTCAAAGACAAATATTCTTTTTTTTTCTCCCTTCCTTCTTCCATTCAGCCACTAGAACACACGAATGTCTCACCGTGCGAAACAGTCAATTTTTGACAGCCCGTCTATTCATGTGGCCCCGGGGTGAAATGGTTGCGACGGTAAACAAATTGAAATAGGCAAAAAGGAAAAGAAAAAAAAATGTTGCCTCAGTGAATGCCTGCGTGATTATGTCTATCAATGTGGACACCGTCACCAGACTCCCCCCCCCCCCCCCGGGCTTGTTTGCGTGGGGTGAAACCGACCGGAAAAGCCGTGGAAAAATTGCTAGACTAACAAGGGGTGACCACTCGGATCTTTCTGCCCCCTTTTTTCAGTCTGAATAATGTGGGACTGATTTACACAATATTTCTCGGAAATGAAGCTTTGTTATTTTTTTAATGTACTTATTATCATGGTACTCTATACAAACTATGGAATCGATAGTATTGATATAAATCGACGTCAATTGCTAAACTATCAATGACACTAAAAATAACCTTAACCCTCTAGCTTTTGACGAAGAGGTAAGTAGTATTGAAATTTTATTTTCCATTGAAAACGTTGTAAGGCAGTTTGAATAGTAGATGGCAATGAAATAGGCCTGCTTTAACATGTAGAAAAAAAGCGTGGGAAATTTATTTTCAGGCTGAAAAAGCCAACCAACCCCCCCCCCCCCCCTTAAACAACAACAACCGCTAATGAAATAACTGCCAAACGTTTACTAACATACCGATATAATTAAAACATACCGATATAATAAAAGGAACTAATTAAAATTTATTACAGTATTCGGTGCTGGATGCAGCAAGTCCGAATACGTTTGATCGCAGTAATAGATAATTCTAGAAATCGATTACAGTCATACAACAAATTAATTGTGATGAGGTTTTTTTTTTCTATAGTACGGTTAGGTCCATAGAGGGTATCGATTTGGTTGAAGTGGTTATCTTAGATTCTGGTCAAAGATAGGTCGAACACTCGCTGGGGCGTGTCTCCCCATTCACACGAATGTGTCTCACTTCCACGAACAAATGTCTCACCAACACGAACAAATGTCTCACCATCACGAACAAACGTCTCACCAACACAAACAAAAGTCTCACCTACACGAACAAACGTCTCACTTACACGAACAAATGTCTCACCAACACGAACTAACGTCTCAACTACACGAACAAATGTCTCACCTATACGAACAAACGTCTCACCAACACGAACAAACGTCTCACCAACACGAACAAATGTCTCACCAACACGAACAAATGTCTCACCTACACGAACAAATGTCTCACCAACACGAACAAACGTCTCACCAACACGAACAAACATCTCGCCAACACGAACAAATGTCTCACCTACACAAACGTCTCACCAACACGAACAAATGTCTCACCAACACGAACAAATGTCTCACCAACAAGAACAAATGTCTCACCAACACGAACAAATGTCTCACCAACACGAACAAATGTCTCACCAACACGAACAAACGTCTCACCAACACGAACAAACGTCTCACCTACACGAACAAATGTCTCACCAACACGAACTAACGTCTCACCTACACGAACAAACGTCTCACCAACACGAACAAACGTCTCACCAACACGAACAAATGTCTCACCTACACGAACAAACGTCTCACCTACACGAACAAACGTCTCACCTACACGAACAAACGTCTCACCAACACGAACAAATGTCTCACCAACACGAACAAATGTCTCACCAACACGATCAAACGTCTCACCAACACGAACAAACGTCTCACCTACACGAACAAACGTCTCACCAACACGAACAAACGTCTCACCAACACGAACAAACGTCTCACCAACACGAACAAACGTCTCACCAACACGAACAAATGTCTCACCAACACGAACAAACGTCTCACCAACACGAACAAATGTCTCACCTACACGAACAAACGTCTCACCTACACGAACATACGTCTCATCAACACGAACGAACGTCTCACCAACACGAATAAATGTCTCACCAACACGAACAAACGCCTCACCTACACGAACAAACGTCTCAACTACACGAACAAATGTCTCACCTATACGAACAAACGTCTTACCAACACGAGTTAACGTCTCAACTACAAATCTATGTCTCACGTGTATGTAGTTTCCAGAAACGCTCTCGTGAAATCTCATTTTGTCTTCCCTACCTGCGCTCTACTCGCATAAATAAAACAACAATCGCAATCGATAGTAGTGAAACACACATAGAATTCTTAGCATCTAAAGACTGAACAACACCATTGTAAATACTCTCTATCCTTACCCAGGCTTAGCTCTGCCAGAGTTTAGGTTTTATTCACAAAGCAGCCTCGTTAAGAAATGGTTTATTTATATTTCATTACAACTTTTTGGAAATTATGGCGCATGTTTGGGTATGAGTATGTATATGAGTATGTGTATAACAAGCGGATGCATGCGTGTATGTGTATAGATAAACATTTTTTTAGATATGCTCTGACGTCACACTCAAACTGACCAGACACGCAATGACGTCACAGAAGCACTGACCTCGCTAATAAATATATCTGTGAGCTCGTCCTCCAGTGACCCGTAACAAAGCGTTAATCCGAGTTTCTCATCCGTGGAGGTGCGTCTCAACATGACCTCCTGGAAAACAAGAGGGGGCAGATTAGGGCTGATGTATGCAAATCATTAGGTAGGGGGCAGATTAAGACAGTTATATGCAAATCATTAGGTAGGGGGGCAGATTAAGACAGTTATATGCAAATCATTAGGTAGGGGGCAGATTAAGACAGTTATATGCAAATCATTAGGTAGGGGGCAGATTAAGACAGTTATAAGCAAATCATTAGGTAGGGGGCAGATTAAGACAGTTATAATAGTTATATGCAAATCATTAGGTAGGGGGCAGATTAAGACAGTTATAAGCAAATCATTAGGTAGGGGGCAGATTAAGACAGTTATAAGCAAATCATTAGGTAGGGGGCAGATTAAGACAGTTATATTCAAATAATTAGGTAGGGGGCAGATTAAGACAGTTATAAGCAAATCATTAGATAGGGGGCAGATTAAGACAGTTATATGCAAATCATTAGGTAGGGGGCAGATTAAGACAGTTATATGCAAATCATTAGGTAGGGGGCAGCTTAAGACAGTTATATGCAAATCATTAGGTAGGGGGCAGATTAAGACAGTTATATGCAAATCATTAGGTAGGGGGCAGATTAAGACAGTTATATGCAAATCATTAGGTAGGGGCCAAATTAGACAGTTATATGCAAATCATTAGGTAGGGGGCAGATTAAGACAGTTATATGCAAATAATTAGGTAGGGGGCAGATTAAGACATATGCAAATCATTAAGTAAGGGACAGACAGATACAATACACACAAAGTAAGGGGCATTTGATGGCAGTTATATAATAAATGATTAAAGGGAATTGTATGACAATTACAGTACACAACGCTCGATAATGGGGGATTTGAATATACACAAAAAAAACATATATTAGGGGACGTGGTACGACCATTACACAACCGAACATATATTAGGGGGCGTGGCACGACCCATACACAACAAAACCAAACTTCGGGCTAAACACTGACTGAATGTCATCTTTACCATTGTAAGCATTACAGCGATTACACCAGTACGTGCTTACATTATTGTAAGCAGTTTTCGATTATATACCTATACAAAAAATAATTCAAACATTTGTTAAGCAGCCACTTATGATATTAAACTGTCAAACGAAAACGAATTTGATTTAGCGAATCAAGACCCCCCCCCCCCCTTATTCATATGATGTAATGGTCTCTTCACCCCCCCCCCCCCCCCCCACACACCCACCGTATTACCTAAAAGCTTTTGCTTAATAAATCTTCCTCTTAAATAAAGACGAATGTATTTTTCGCCTTTCTATATATGAGTCTATATATTTGGAGAAATATTTTTGAAGTGATATAATCTAGTTGATGAAAAGTATAGAGACAACAAATAACTGCATCGTGTAGGGTGGGGGGGGGGCAGGGGTTATGTTGGGCTGTCATAAGAATTAATGTTGTCATAGTTCTCGGCAAGCGAACAAAAAAAATTCATTTAAAAACGGAATAGAGATTGGAAGTTACGTCATAACCATCAGGGGAGATAGTCCTGTATAGTCCAATCAGTACATCGCTGGGTTGTGGTTCTTGGTAACTTTAAAACTAACAACATTCAAGTTGTATATAAGACTAGAGGGTAGTTTTATATGTGCTACTGATGCTCAGACTGTTTATCAGATACAACCCCCCCCCCCCCCCCCCACTACCCCGGGATGGTAGTGTCGATGTAAAATAAGAAAATATGAGTGATTAACGAGAACACCGATGAAAGCAACGATAAGGCGACTGCAAGCGACGAACACCGGAAATTGATGAAGCGGCAGCGATGATGAGATAGATAAAAGGGAAGATGGATGGCGGATACGTTGAATTAAGAAATCGCGGGTATGGCTTTCTCTAAAATAAAAAAATGGGAGGGGATGAAGTATTTACATCTAATCAAGAAATCCATTCGATCTCTCAATACTCAACGAGCGTCTTGTTACCCCCCCCCCCCCCCCACCCCCATCGACACACCTCTCCCATTCCCACCATCTCAAATGTTAGGTTTTTTCCTCTTTAAAACGATAAAAAAAAACATCGTCTAGTCCCGTCGTCATACAAATCCCCTGACGAGGCGACGACAAGGCAACGAAAACGAGAAGGAGAAGAAGAAGAAAAAAAATTAATAGGAATATGACATTACGCTACCACGCAGTTGGATGGGCGCTCGCTGCGACCCCTGACCCCTAGTGAGTTGGTCCTGCCCGTGAATGCGGATTGATTGATTGATAAAACATCAGCCGGGGCGGCATTTCATGTTGCATTGGCCAAATTCAAACTCTGAGGGTCGTGGGGGGCTTTTTCACAAATTGGGGTGAATACAGAAAGGGGAGGTCACAGCAAAAGTTGAGTTCTTTCCCTTTCGTGTTGATTTGTAGGATTTTTTTTTAAATATATCAAGACGATGAGACAAATTTCTCGAAGCTAAATATTAGGATAGGATTTGAGGAGTGTGGGGGGGGGGGGGGGGGGGGATGGGGAGTATGAAGCTGGGCAAATTTCAAGCATTTACGTGAAGAAAAAAAAAGCGAAAGAAACCAAACCCAATGCCATTAAGTGAGGGGGAAATATATGTGCAAACAGGCCGGGGAATTAACTTGATGTCTTTTAAAATCAACAAGTGAGGTGCGACATGATCAGGACAGCCATTAACCTCTCAACGTAAACATATAAAAAAAACTAAGTATGTAGAAATTTAGAAGGGTGGTTAAGTTTGGGGGTGGGTGTTCAAACAGTGTGTGACGTTATTAAAAAATCGAACGAGAATATAACATTATTTTAATTTAAAAGCACACGAAGTCTACATTTTCTAAAGTTGGTATGAAGGTGCCATTCAAGACGTATGTCTGATGTTCATGCAAATATTGCTATGACATAACAGGGAGGTAACTCCTAAATAACAGGGAGGTAACTCCTACACAACAGGGAGGTAATCCCTGCCTCTACCTCACTCTTATTTCAACAATGTCACTGAGTGCACATCAAGGTATATCAAGGGGGGGGGGGGGGGGTGGCATATACAGAGTGCATATTAAGGTATGTAATGTTATATGTAGCAAAAGTGTGTTTTAGATTATAATATATTGGTATACGCATTAAATACATACACGAGTAATTAATTAAAAACATAACCTCGGTTTTCCCTCCCCTCACCACTGTTTATTTAACGTTAAAAAAAACTAATGAATCTTCAAAGTTCTGTTTCCTGAGGCATATTTAAACTTTAATAAGCGGATACAATGAAGAATTCAATTGAAATGTGTGTTGGGGGTGGGTTGAAGTAAAATTTACGAGGTACGGTAGACGCGCGATGTGAGTTTGTGGTTGGGAGGTTGTCTTAGGAAGACTAAGGTAGTATCAGTAAAATTTGATTCTTCAGGATCGACGGACCCCGTTGGTCTTTGGGAGAATCGACTCTCTTGTTTCAATAACCCGGCTTCTGAATCGATACTCTCTGGAATGGAAAATCGGTAATCGATTAGATTGTGTTCGTACTAAATGGACCAACACGATTCTCTAGTCCCTCGACCGATCAATGGGCAACTAATAATTATACGGACCCGAGAAAGGGCGGTGGAAATTATTTTTTTTATTAGCGAGGTAAGAAATCATTAGGAGTTCTTCAGTTAGATAGTACTGATGGACATTATACAAATAAGCATATTAATAGAGTTATATATATATATATATATATATATATATATATATATATATATATATATATATATATATATATATATAATGACATGTAGACAGTGCCAATTCAGCATAACAGTGGTTACCCAGAACAGCAGCAGTAGTCACATGCTACAATGACAGTCCTTGTGCCGCTGCCTGTATGAAACATGTCTGACACACTGACACACCCACCGTCAGATCTTCTGGAAACTTCTCATTTAAAGCCCCACGCTGTGACTCACCTTTCCTTCAATATTTTTTTTAAATAATCGATTTGTGTGGGGGAGGGGTGAGGGGGGAGATTTATAATGGACAAAGTTTTCCCGTGGAGGCAGAAGTCGATTACTATGGATGGTATCGTGGAAGCGATGTGACGATTACATTCGTGGAAGAGATTCGCTGATGTTTATCTGTCATTTGATAGCTCATATGTCCTGTACAACTGGCGAGGCGCAATCCATATGCCCAGGCTCACGGCCATTGGATGGTTATTTATAGAACAATGACGATCAGAGGGAATAGTCAATGAGATAGTGGGGGGGGGGGGGGGAGTATTCAAAGGTGACGGTTAAATGAGAACAAGGAAGGGGGGGGGGCTTAAGGAAACTGTATTTGAGTAGTATATAAATGAGGGAAAACTAAAAAAAAAAAATTAAATTTAAAATATCACGATGAAGTTCAAGTATAGGCCTACCATGCAAGAAAGTGGAAGTTAAAAAGAAGGAAAGACAATTAATGTGCGATCATTTATATAGGAATATATTTGAACGCTGGAATAGGGCGCTAGGTATCGATGTCTTCTATTGTCTGGTACCAGGTAAGCCAAATGGACAGTATCGATATCTGCAGTCAACAGTGCCGATACTTTCACGTGCAGTGGTCACAGTATGGTGTTAGGTTCTGATGGTGACCTTGATCTGATTAGCCCACTAATTTTGATTAGGCCTAAAGATTTAATAGACATCCCATTATCCTTCACCCTAATGTAGCAGGTGAACACGAAAAAGAAAGTTAGTCTTTCAAACAAGATGATCCGTGTGGCCGATGAAATGAGTCGGGTACCCATCAGAGCTGAGTCGACTCAGTGACCTTATAAACTCGAACCGGGACCCGAACTCGAGAAATTCGGGTTGGCAGTCGAGTGCACTATCACCCTACCACGCCGTTCACATTAAAATATAATTAGTTTAGGGCAAGGTTCAGGTGTTAGATTATGGATATTTAAAAAATCTTATTTTCCTGGAACTCATTACGAGACGAAAGGTTTTTAGTCTAAACAGCACGGTAATCAAAGGTTCAAAGACAAATCACAACTATTCAAA